CTTTGAATCCGTGATCAAAATTAATATAATCAGTAAGCAGCACATAGACATTGTGTGCCTCAGATGTGATACCACAAGAAGGACACAACATAATGTGTGTATTATTCTGGCTGGGAATGCATAACTGGAATCTAATTATGAGGAGATATTTGACACACCCCAAAATGAGGACTATTAAAAGGACTGCATTCTTCAAAAATGTCACAAAAGACAAGGAAAGGCTGAATAACTGTTCCAAATTAAAAGAGACTGAAGAATCAAGACAAGCAAACGCAATACAGGATCTTTGACTAGGTCTTGTGTGAGAGAAAGTCCCCCAAAGACATTATTGGTTTAGTTTTTCAAAACTGGAATACAAGCAATAAAGTAGATAAAAGTATTGTATTGATGTTAAATTTACTGCAGTTGTTAACTATATTATGGTTATATAGAGTATTAATAATATGCTTATTGTTGGGAAATGCATATTGAAGTATTTAAAGGTAAGGAAGAATAATGTGGGCTGGGTGCATTGGCTCACGCCTCTAATCCCAGAACTTTGGGAGGCCAAGGCAGGCGGATCACCTGAGGTAGGGAGTTCAAGGCCAGCCTGACCAACATGGAGAAACACCGTCTCTACTGAAAATACAAAATTAGTCAGGCATAGTGGTGCTTGCCTCTAATCTCAGCTACTCCCGAGGCTGAAGCAGGAGAATCGCTTGAACCTGGGAGGTGGAGGTTGCTGTGAGCCAAGATCACATCATTGCACTTCAGACTGGGCAACAAGAGTGAAACTCTGTCTCAAAAAAAAAAAAAAAAAAAAGAGTTATGTATGAAATTTACCCTCATTTAAATGAGTCAAGAAAAATTGTGTATAGAAAAAGCAAATGATAAAATAAGCAGGATTAAATGTTAACAGTGTGTCAATCTGACCAAGAGGAACCTGGCTATCCTTTGTAGTTCTGTTGCATCCTTTGTGTAAGTTTCAGGTTTCTTTCAAATTAAAAAAAAAAATAAGTGAACACATATATTGACCCAAAGTTAGACCCATTCTCTAACAAAAATACAAGGCAAAAGTATATGTAATACAATTATGTTAAAAGACTATTTTTTTCTATATTACCTAAAGCGTATCACCAATGATTGATTAGCCGTTAATAAGCTTTCTTTCCTTTCTTTTTTTTTTTTTTTTTTTTTTTTTGACGGAGTTTTCCTCTTGTTGTTCAGGCTGGAGTGCAATGGCGCAATCTCAGCTCACTGCAACCTCCACCTCGCTGGTTCAGGGGATTCTCCTGCCTCAGCTTCCTTAGATTACAGACACGTGCCACCACAGCCTGCTAATTTTTGTATTTTAAGTAGAGATGGGGTTTCACCACGTTGGTCAGGCTAGTCTCGAGCTTCCAACCTCAGTTGATCCACCCTCATCAGCCTCCCAAAGTGTTGGGATTACAAGTGTGAGCCACAATGCCTGGCAACAAGCTCTTTCTTAAAAGTGAAGGTATTTATACCTTTAACTCGCAAAATCCCAAAATATATATCAAGAATTTATTTTTTAAAACTTCTTGAAGATCATTTAGAAGGGTTGTTACCACAGTAGAAAAAGTATAAAAAATTGCACAGCAAACCCCTGAAAATATGATTATATACCTTTTCTTTTTTGTTTTGTTTTGTCTTGTTTTATTTTCTTGAGATGGAATTTTGCTTCTATCACTCAGGCTGTAGGGCAGTGGCGCAATCTTGACTCACCCCAACCTCTGCCTCCTGCGTTAAAGCAATTCTTCTGCTTCAGCCTCTGGAGTAGCTGGGATTACAGGCGCCCACTACCACGCCTATTTTTTTTTTTTTTTTTTTTTTTTGAGATGGAATTTTACTCTTGTACCCCAGGCTGGAGGGCAATGGCACATTCTCGGTTCACTGCAACATCCACCTCCCAGGTTCAAGCAATTCTTCTGCCTCAACCTCCTGTAAACCTGCTGGGATTACAGGTGCCCACCACCACGTCCAACTAATTTTTTTGTATTTTTAGTAGAGGCGGGGTTTCGTCATGTTAGCTAGATTGATCTCACACTCCTGACCTCAAGTGATCCACCAATCTTGGCCTCCCAAAATGCTGGGATTACAAGCATGACCCCCTGAGCCCAGCCTGATTATATACATTTTCAATAAACATATATGAAAATGGTTTCAGGCCTTTTAATAATTAGAAGACCAAAATAAATAAAAATGAAATAGCATTACTCACTAACCAGAATATATAAAAGAAAGACTGGCAAAATCAAGTGTTAGAAAGGACATCTAATTAAAACTCTTTTAAACTTGTGGCTGGGTTGTATATTAGTTGAAAAAATTTTTGGAATTAAAAAAATTTAATTGATAAGTTATATGTATTTGTGGTGTACCACATTTTATTTATATATACATATACACACAGACACACATTGTAGAATAGCGAAATCCACAGACATGCATTGTAGAATGGCTAAATCAAGCTACCTGGTGTATCAGTTACCTTAGCTGCTTATCTTTTTTTGTGTGGTGAACACATTTAAAATCTGCTGTCTTAGAGATTTCAAGCATTACCACATTGTTATTAACTATAGTCAACATGTACAATAGAGCTCTTGAGCTTTTTCCTCCTAGCTGAAATTTTTGGTGACATGCATTGCATTGGAACATACCCAGTTACTATGACCAAGCTATTTTATTTGTAGGTCCGTACTTAACTAAAATATCTATACATGTGTACCAAAAGAAATCAACAAGAATGTTTGTAGTGGCTTTATTGCTAATAGCCCCAAACTGGAAACACACCAGTGTCCACCAGCAGTAGAATTGACAGATGTGCCGTATTCACGCAGAGCATCACCGAGCAGGGAAAAGAAATGAACTGCTTCATGAAAGCACATGAGAGAGCGTTGCAAATGTGATGCTGGGCCAGAGAAGCCACACACACAACCATTCCTACTGAATGGCCCTCCATGAATCCATTCATGAAACAGGCAGCACTAATTGGGGCTGCTAAAAACCAGGTGATTATTTGCTTTGGCAAGACAGATATGCGGTGGTTAGGGAGCAGGTCTTCAGGAGAGGGGTTTCCAGATTGTTATTTTTAGTTCATTTTCTTGGACCCTGTGGTAGGTCCAAGCATGTGTTCTGTTTAAGATAAATCACTGAGTAGTAGAATAATAAGGATTCCTGTGCATGTTATACTTTAATAAATGTATTTGAATTCATTTTTGCCATTAGGACAAATAATCTAAATTGTAATAAATCTTTTAAGTTTTAATATTATTTCTAGTTGATGAAAAATAAGTTATCCAAAGGATTCCAAATTTGGATATTTCAATATAGAACTTATGCATACAAATATATATTTCTGGAGATCCACAACTGTATGATTAATGTCATAAAAAAGCAGTTATGTTTACAAATTGCTGACTCTAATCTTTTATTTAATTGTCCACATTCATCAATGAAACCACTTTCACAGAAGAGTTCAATCCACGGCATAAATGATAGGAACTTCAGAAAAGTCATTCCTTTGTTATTTATCTAAAAATATTAAATTTCTTAGAAACACAGGCCATCAAACTCTCAGTTTCGTGTTGCTTTCATTGCTTCCTATAGTCTTGTTACCTGAGATTTTTAGTTCCAGAATTGCACAGAGGGAATAGTTGACTATCATGGTTACCACTGTGGCCAAAAAACAAGGCACACGATTCCTAGGATCTCAGCAGTGACCTCCCTGGAGGTGATGGGAATTAAGAGACCTGCTATGGAAACTGAGGGGGCTGAGTAAACGGTCTCTACAAAGTTTTCTCTGTGTCTGCTACTTGAAGCCCACAGGCAGTAAACAAGGGAAGATTACAAATCAGTCAGGGATTCTATGAGCAAGAGCTGCAACCTCATAAAAATAAAATGAAACCCATGTTCATGAAGCTAAACACAGGCCAGTAACCCAGCAGTGCACACACACTTGCACGCTTGCTACAAAATTCATTTTATTCCAGTGTGTGAGTGTGCAAGTGTGTGTGTGTGTGTGTGTGTGTGTGTGAAGGGGACCCGTCAGTCAGGGGACTCAGTCAGTCCCCAAGGCTCTGCGTGGCCCTCCAGAGACCCTGCTTCCCGCTGGCTCAGTCAGCACCACAGAGGGTGGATGGGGGCACAGAGTCAGGGCAGGCAGGACAGTAGGGAAAGGACAGCCAGGCACCCCATGTCCTGGTTTCGAAGTGGCTGGAGGAGGCTGAGGGCTGAACGTCAGTGACCTGAGAGCCAGCTGAGGCTGAAGGCAGGGTGGTGGGGCAGCCCCACTAGCTGCAGGGCCCTTGCTCACCCTCGTTGCCTTGGATATCTCCCCAGCAGTGCTGGGCAGCCCAGTGAGAGAGTGGCCGAGGCTTGGGTGTGGACGGATCAGGGAGGTCTCACTCAGAGGTTCTGACAGGACAAGGGTCACAGAAAGGCCAGGGTGACTTGAGTGAAGGCCACAGTCTCTGGGCCAAGCAGGATGGGGGAAGGCGGGGAGCAGGCAGGGTCAGCGGCCAGGGTGCAGGCAGAGGCAGGTGCATGCTGGGAGGTCAGACCCTGCAAGGCCTGTGTGAAGTGTCCAGTGGGACAGGCTCCAGGTGTGTCCTCAGGGCCCTGGGCAGGTCTCAGGCCAGGCTCCCTGGACTCTGGTGAGTGATGTGGTCACTCCCGAGGCACTGCTGTCCGTCAGGGCTTGGCCACCCACCCTGGGTGGCACCTATCCTGTCTCAGGACTGGACTTAACTCAGCTCCCACAGAGGGTGTTGCCTCCAGCCCAGGAGGGGCAACCCCATTGTACAGCCCAAGGCACCCCACAGGCACCAAGTGGCCCCCACCAGGCCAGCATCAAGCTCCCTCTTCTCTAGGGTCCTGGTGCCTCGCAGGCATCAGCTCCACAGGGAGGCTCTTGCCTTCCTTCCCTGTGCCTTCTCCTGGGCTGAGACTTAGGGTGGACAGGGATGGGCTGGTCCTTCTGTGGGGCACTCTCTGGGAGGGGGATGGATCCTGGCCTGGGCAGGTCCTCAGCTCTGCTTGGGTTGCCTTACAGTGAGACAGAGCTGCTCCCTGTCCGTATTCTGGAGGTGAAGGTAAGAGCCTGGGCCTGCCTCATGAGAGGCTGGTCGAGGGACGGGGAATTCGGGTGGTTGGTGAGGCAGTAGGGGTGGCCCGTGGGCCCGGTGGGTGGTGAGTGGGCCACAGCTGTCACTGGGAGGGGCAGCCATTCCTGCTGGATTCTGTTTCCATGAGGGTTTGACCAAAACCCAAACCAGGAACTGCAGTCCTGGCTCAGAGTCAACTGCCTGTTTGCACCAAGTCCCAAGCTGAAGGCTGGGACTGACAGAAACTCAGGGTGTCTGTGGCCTAAAGATGGTGTGTCCTGGTATCACCAGTCCACACTCCCAGCTCCAGTTAGTTCAGAGGGTCTCAGCCCCTGGGATCTGCCCTTTCCTGCCTCCTTCAGGGCTCTGAAGCACAGAACCCAGAATCCACGATCCACCACCAGAAGCCTGACAGCTCTGCTAACTCCATCAAGGCTCATACGGCAGCAAAGAAGTCAGGAACTAAAACAAACTAAGAAGTGGCTGAAGATGCTCAGAGACTGGCCAAAATACAGAACAAGCAAGAAGGTACCATGGGGAGGGAGTGGCCCCCGTGACTACTCTCTACAGAGCAAGGAGACAGGTGCCCATGGCTGTGACCTGGCACCACCTGCCTCTCAGTGGGTGGGTGGTACCCATCCTCATCATAGGAGAGCAGCCTTGTTCGCCAGCTTTCCTCACCATGGTCGCCCCATGTCCTGTCTCACTGGAGTGTTCTTCTGTCTGTAGCTCTCCCACAGAGTGTACAAAGGCATTACCCTGACAGTGAGGGGCTGGGCATGGTCACTTCTGCTAGACATTGACAAAGTCAAGGCTAAGAACTTGGGGAAATATCAGCCAGGGCAGGACAACAGACCAGGCTGTATCAGGAGCCCACAACCCCAGCTGGAAGGAATTTCAAACCCGGATTGAGGGGGTGGGTTCTAGTCAGATGCACATCCTAGGCATGGACAGTGACTCAGGCACCACAGGTGCGCTGGGCTCTGCTGACCCTCCCTGGCTTCAGAAACAAGGCAAAAAGGAGCTTTCTGCAGAAGGAAACCTTCCTCCTTTCCTTGCAGAAGTGCTGACTGTGGGATGGCTGCTGTCTGGGGCAGGGAGTCTTTTGTCTGTTCTGAGGCTGCTTCCTCCTCTTGGTCCTTCCCTACAGGTCATGAAGGAGAAAAGCAAGAGTTCCTCCAGGATCATCGGCCTCATCAAGCTAGATGTCAAGCACACCCTCCAGAACCACAAGATGTTCATAGAAGGACTCGGGGTCAAGTAAGTCCTGTGGGGGCTGCAGGGGTGCCAGGGAAGATTGGGCAATCCAGAGGAATGAGGGCTTCCCCAGGGCAGAGGCCAGGGTCACCCAGGAGGGGTGACAGAGCCACAAAGGGCTCTCCTGCCCTAGGGAGCAGCCAGCACCATGGACTGAGCACCTCTGGGGCTGTAAGCCCTGGGCCAGGCTGGGACGTGTGGGGTGAAAACCCAGGTGGTTCCCTAAGACTGGACTTCTGTGGGCGCAAACCGAGAAATGAGGGAAGAAAAAAATCAACCAGAGTGAAAATGATCGCTGATCCAACCTGCGCTATTTGCATGGCAAGGAATGTGGATTTTACTGAAACAAGTTTTTAGGAATTGTTTCAGTAAAATCCAACATTCCTTGCCATGCAAATATTACAGGTGTACAGTTGGATCAGTGATCACTGCTTATTTGGGGGATCATCTGAACCCAGAATTTTGTTTATTATCTGAGTTTATAGACAAGATGAAACTGACAGCATTTGCACAAAACTCTCTTTTCCTTTTTTTCTAGGTAGTAGAATTATGTGATACTCTCATTGCCTATTCTGCATATAACCCTGTGAGTATTCCTGGGCAGTGATATTCCTGGGCCATATTCCTGTATTCACAGGCATGGGTGTTTCTCGGGGGTGTCAGCACTTGTTGAAAATCCAGAGTTCATGACCTACTAGAATGTAGTAGGCAGGACTCAAACTCACTGCTGGCTGAAAAGGGTTGAGGCCCAGACTCCTGGTGTCACGTGGACCCAACCACCACGTTAGATGAAGAAATGACCTTCCCCTCCTGGTGTTGCCCCAAAGCTTAGGAGCTTGGCAGGGTCCCACACAGGATGGCCCTCACAGGAGAGTTCCATGAAGGAAGTCACAAGGAAACACTGGGAGCTGCCACTCCCAGGTGGGCTCCAGCACCAGGTCCCCTCTCGAGTCACCCTGTCCCTAGAGTGCCTCATGAAGCTTTCCTGGAACACCATCCTGGAGTTTCGGGAGCGGCTCTCTCAGAGCTGGGCTCTGGAGGACAATGCCATCCTCAGGAACCTTCAGGCCTCCATGAAGGAACTCATAGGGACACACTGGGACCTGCCACCCCCAGGTGGGCTCCAGCACCAGATCCCCTCTTGAGTCACCCTCTGGGCAGTCAATGGTGGGGAGTGCCCTGGCCCCACCTTCCCTCCTACCTGGCCTTCCTCCTGCACCTATTCTTCCTCCTCTAGAAAGTCACATGGGTCTGCTGGTCCTCAGGGCAGGTGCTGAGCGCACGTGTCCTGGACATGCTGTGCCGGTAGGCAGGGGCTGTGGGCAGGACCCCCCAACACCCCTCTCACACTTTCCATGTTGTTCTCCTCTCTCACTTGAAGGGCCCTGAGGCACACTGGGGGAATCAGACCCAGCTATGGAAGGCCCCACCCCTACCTCCAAGCAGCCAAGACCCCCTATTCTTGAGTGCTCCCCCAAGGGTGTCAAGATAACAACACAGGGGAACAAGAGAATCAGTGTCCCTGACCCAGAGAGGATTTAGGCAGAGGGCATTGTGGGGAAGCCCTGACGCAGAGCCAGAACCAAGAGTTCAGCCGGGCGTGGGATGGGTCCAGCCCTGGCATGGAGTGAAGGGCCTGGAGGGCAGAGGGGAACCCATGCCCAGGCCTTCTCATGCTTTGTGGAGACAGGCCCCCATGTGAGATGGCAAGAAAGCTGGGTGACAGTGCAGGTCCCTTCCACCTGTGTTCTGAATCAGGGATACCAAACGGCCCTGAGGTGAGGACGTGAGGCCGGAAGCCCCAAGCCACCCGGAACCCTGGGGGCCATTCTAGGAGTGACCTGACGTTCCTCGAAAGCTCCCCCATCCCAGACTACACTCAGCCCTTGCCCTGGGATCAGCTGCCTGCAGGGGCATCCTCAGTGTCAGACCAGGGGGCCACACAGGGACCCCGAGGACTCCAGAGACCCAGGCCTGTGAGGTGTAGCCCTGAAGAGACTAGATGGGCTTGGTGAAGATGCTAACCATGTCTGTTTCCTTTTCTCAGCCAAGCTCGAACGAGGGTCCTCAAGGGTGTCCCCTGGCATTGGGACCCTCTGTGAGGAGAACAGACTGGCCCTCCCCACCCCTCCAGCTTAGCTCCAGGAGCTCATGCCATCAACCCACCTGTGACAAAAGCCTTGTCCTCCCCCAGCCTGGCCTGATGGGGTTGTCCCCAAGGCCCAGGCCAAGGCTCAGCAGCATGAGGGAGATTCCCAAGAACCCAGGGCAGCAGGCTGCTCTCTGTGGGGCCCAGAGGCTCAAGATGAGGGTAGCCTGTCCCCTGGTGAAATCAGGCTTTCCATTCCATGGAAACACTTACCCAGGGACCCCATCCCACAGCTCCACACAGACCCGCACTTCGGGGATCCGTGTCTCCTGCACTACCATTTGAACATGGCTCCGGGGACTCTGAGGTGGTGTCTCCAGAACCCGGGGCAGCATGATGCCCTCTGGAGGGACCAGAGGGTCAAGACAAGGGCAGCAAGTCCCTCGGCAAGTTCAGACTTTGTATTCCGCAGAAATATTTGTCTGGGAACTCCGTGCTACTGCTCCACACAGACCCACACATTGGGGACCTATGTCTCCCGTACTGCCATTTTGAACATGGCTTCTGGGACTCTGTCACTTCTGCATCTTTCGTGGACAGCCCTGAAACAACAAGAGGGACCCTGCCCAGCAAGCCCACTGGGACCCCAACACCAGGCCCTGCCGGGGCTTATGACAGAGAGGAGGCATTTCGCGAGACACCCGAACATCAAGGTCTCCCCTGCCTGTGAGTCCTCAGTAGAACAGCATGGCATAGGAGTCCATGTGGCACCCGCCCAACTGCCTCACGGCTCCAGATGGCTGCTGAACCTTGTTTTTTACTGTTCTTTTATTTTTATTTTCTATTTTTGGCTTCTGGGCCTTGGGAAATACTACTCAATGGGGACTGTGGTCCCATCAAGGCCTCTGGAGGGAATGCTAAGCATAAGGTTCCCGCAGCCCCAGCCAGCCAGCAGCGTGCCCTGGAGCCTCTGACCCCACCTGTCAGTCAGAGCCCCTCCCCCAGAGCCCATGTCCCAGGCCCAGAGGGACCCGGCTTCAGCCAAAGTCCTAGGAGGAAAGGGGCACAACAGGCCCCCAGGTGACTCGCAGGGGACCAGGGCACTGCGAGCCCTGGGTGCTGCGAGGATTCACATCAGAGAACATTCTCAAGCCAGACTAGGGACACTGAGCCTGTGCAGTGATGATATGGGTGGCTGGCACAAGGAGGTCAACAGCTGTGAACACTACTGCCTCTTCCTGATGTCATAACTGCAGTACAGGCAGTTTGCACACCAGAGCCTGGCCCAGCAGCGCCCCGAGTACCACGGTCTGCTAAGCCAATATGCCACCTGGAGGCTTCAAGGCCCTGCCTGCCACACCATCCCCCTCCTGGAAGCTCCATCCTGCAGCCTAGCTGCTGCCCCAGCCACAGCAGGCACCACTGCCAAGCGCCTTCCAGCTGGGCTTCCCAGAGGGTGGGATGCCTCAGCAGCTCAGACTGGGAAGGTCGTTTCTTCCATATTTCCATTGTTTCCACCACCTGGGAACAATGCTGGTTGGAAGGTCTTAGGACCCAGGCAGAGTGAAGCTTCCCCCAGGGGAACACAACAATGGTTCTATTTAATGTGAAGAGACTGGACTAAGTCTGAAACCCGGGGCACTCTCTGGTGTTCTTGGTGTTTCCATGTAAAGAAAGTCAAATAACTTGCCACAAAGGTTTGCCACAGAGGCATCTGAAAAAAGAGGGGGCAGAACTGTTCAGAACTCAGAGGCTTCAGAGTCAAAGATGAGGCCAAGCAGGAGAACTGTGACCCGCTGAGGGCAGGGGAAGTATGGAGGCCACTGGGAGAGGACATCACCCCGGCCTTGTGATCTGTCACAGAACCGTGCACTAGAATAGCTGTGCACATTTTCTCTCCACTGATTATAGTATGTCTTTCCATTTGCAACTCTCCAATCGCTAAGGGAGCTTGCTACAAAACGCACATTGCTATACCACAGCCTGGGTTTTGCAATCCAAGCCTGGCAAGGATTCCTTCACGTCAAGGGCCTCAAGTGACTTTCATGTACACTCAAGTCAGAAGGCTGTCCTGAATCCTGGTTGTCTCCTTTATGCCCAGAGAAGAAGGAATGGGGTCAACCAGCAGCAGGCCAGTCACAGAAAGGGATCAAATTTGAGTGCATGGCCTTCCTGACACCCAGGTGTCCCTGATTACACCCTTGCCAGTTCCCCTTACAAACACTTCTGTAATAAGACTCTTCCCCTAAGTTACAATGGAACAAATTTTTTCCTAAAACAGGGAGGGCTCTGTGCTGCCCTCAACGAACAATACTGTTTTTATGCCAATAAGTCAGGCCTTATCCAGGACAGCCTCTCTTTAGTCAGACAATATTTAGAAACCAGAAAACGGCTCTGGAAAGCCTCAGAAAACTGGCATCAAAAATTGTTCTTTTGGTCCTCATGGCTTACTTCCCTGGTTACTGCAATAGTGGGATCTCTAATCCTACTTATACTAGGACTCATGTTTGGACCTTGCCTCCTAAACCAATTACTCAACATACTCCAGTCAAGAATCAACTCTCTAAAACTAATGGTCCTCAGATCCAATACGAGCCCTTGTACCAAACTGAGCAGTCTCTCCAAATACAAGAATCAATGATTTGATTCAATGTACATAAAAATGGGGGCATGTGCCATAGCTAACCCAGAGTTAGAACCTAAGCAATGCCATCTTAAACCCTGTCCCCTGCAAGCACCAAGAAAACTGGTTTTTCCAAAACTAAGTTGTGACTGCTGCCCCGTTTCCTTTGTGATAACTGTTTGCTGCCCCGTTTTCCTTGCAGTAACTGCTGACCTTGGCTTCTGTAAATAAAAACAGCTAGCTTGCTGTAAAGTTGCTTGCCCTGCATCCGCTCACCCTCTTGGTTCTAATACCAGGATGTGGTTTTTCAGTTTAAAAACCCTGCACCCCTTGAGCTTGGGGCCACGGGTTGGAGAGATGTGAGTCCTCCGTCGCCGCGGGCAATAAAGACCCTGCACTTTGGCATACTTTTGTCTCGGTGTTAATTTTCTACACTCGCTCTGGTAAAACAATACAAATGTCTGACCAGACTTAGGAGAAATTTCCTTTAGGACAGAACGGCATTTAATCTATAGATGGTTTCCCCTAGTGAATGAGGGGGAAAAAAAAAGACACAATGGGTATTCGGTAATTGACAGAAAAACTGTTGAAGAAATAGAGTCAGAAAATTTGCCCAATAATGGGTCTGCCCAAACTTGTGAGCTGTTTGCCCTCAGCCAGACCTTAAAGTCTTAAAGAACCAGGAAAGAACCATCTCTACTGATTCTAAATATGCCTTCGGGTTAGCTCACACCTTTGGGAAAATTTGGGCTGAACAAGGTCTTATTAACAGTGAAGGCCAAGACCTGGTCCACAAGGAATTAATCACCCAACTATTAAATAACCTTAAGTTGCCAAAAGAAATAACTATTGTCCATGTCCCTGGACACCAGAAAAGCCTTTCTTTTGAAAGTTGAAGGAATAACCTAGCAGATCAGATAGCCAAACAGGCTACCATTTCTTAGCTGTACAGCTGGCCTGCTTTACAGCTAGGTAAACGTAGGACACATTGCATTAAATACTAAAAGAAGCCAGATCTCATCTGCACTGTCTAGGTCCTAGGCTCTACATCTAGCATATAATTAAAATCTCAAATTTACAAGGTTTTCAACAAAAGTAAAGTTTGCTAAAAGTTAACAGTGTAACATGTATTATCCTAACTTCTCATCTTGTGGCCTGAAGCAGTCTAGTCCACAGACATAAAGGAAGTTTGCTTTGGGAAAAAAACTGTTATCATCTTAGACATTAAAAAAAAAGAGTATACAAATCTTACCTTATGATCAGACATTAAAACTGGATAAATACAGCTAAACGGTTTTATTAAAATTGAGTTTAATAGCACACTAGTATATAAAGATAAAATTTAGCATATCTAGTATAAAATCATACAGAAACCATTATCAAATATAAAATGGTGTTTAGCTTTCTTTGGTCTAAAAATGAATAAAAAGAGGAGCTAAAGAGAATTCAGAAGGAAAATGGACATTGCCACACCAGAGAAAAATGTAATCTAAACCATTTATGAGGGAGATCTAGTTCTAACTGCACGAAGGGACCCATTGGGGACCCCCAAGCCACGTGTGACACAAACCTCAGAGTTTATGAATGTGTAGGAATTTATACTTTGGCAAGACAGGTTACAAATAGTTGCCTGGTATGTAAAAAGACTAATAAACAGGCCCTCAGAAAACTACCTCCTGGTGGAAGAAATCCAGAATTAAGGCCGTTCCAAAGTATCCAAGCTGATTACACCAAAATGCCTCCAATAGGTCATCTAAAATACTTACCAGTAATAGTAGATCACCTCATTCACTGGGTTGAAGCTATCCCCTTTTCAAATGCAACAAACAATAATGCAGTCAAGGCCCTAATTAAAATATAGTACCCAGGTTTGGACTAATAGAAAATACTGACTCAGACATTGCAACTCATTTCACCACACACATCATTAAAAAGCTATCCCAAACATTAGACATTAGATGGAATAGAGTACTCCCTGGCACCCATCTTCATCAAGGGAATAGAAAAAAATGAATCAGACTTTAAAGAACCACTTAACCAAATTGGTTCTGCAGACTCGGTTACCATGGACCAAGTGTCTTCCTATTGCCGTTCTGAGAATCTGAACTGTGGAAAGATATTGGTCTTTCTCCTTATGAGGTGCTCTATGGATTTCCCTATTTATACTCCACTGCTGACATTCCTACCTTTGAAACAAAAGATCAGTTTCTTAAAAATTATATACTCAAGCCTGTCTTCTAATTTCTCTTCTCTGAGAACTAAAGGTCTCTTGACATAGGCACTGCCCCTGGAGTTCCCAGTGCATCAGCATCAGCCTGGGGGTCACGTCCTCATCAAAAGCTGGAAAAAGGAGAAGCTCAAGCTGGCCTGGGAAGGACCTTACTTAGTGCTCCTAACTACTAAAACTGCAGTCTGGACAGCAGAGAGAGAGGATGGATCCATCACACTCGAGTCAAGAAAACACTACCCTCTCTGGAGTCTCAAGGGAAAACCCTATCAAACTAAGGCTAAGAAAAATTTAACTCTCTCATCTATTCTATTATTCCTTCTTCTTTCCTTACTCTATTGCTGACCACCTAGTTATTAATATAAACAAGTCAATTTTACCTCAAACTATTACATTTGATGGTTGCCTTGTTATACCCTGTGGAGACTTGTCAAGTCAAAAACAGCTCTCTACTTCAGAAAAGTACCCCTATCCTTTCTGGCTCTCCTCAGTAGACATTAGTGAATTGGGATTATTTAGTCTGGTAAGATTTCAATGAAGACCCCAGTATCAACCGGGAGTCTTACCCCCTCCACCCTGATACAGAGATTTTATTCCGTAGCTGTTTCAACGTTCTGTAGACCACTAAACAGCAAGGATGAACTGCCCCTACCAGTAGTTGTAATTTCCTAAAACCGTACGTTCATTTTACTAAAGGAACAGCTTCCCCTGTTAGCTAAACCAGTGCAATCCAATACCGGTTATTCTTTCAAAGCCTCAAAACTTCTCCTTCTCTAAGCCAGTTCCCTTCTTTAAGCTGGTTTTATGGTACGGGGATTGGGGTTTCAGGAACAGACCGTATCGGGTTCTTTAAAATACATTTCATTGATCCCCCACTGCCTACATCTTCCCCTAAGCCTTCGTCCAAAACCTCTCTCAATGAAACAGTTGTTCCTCTTCCATCTAATGACAAGAGCAAGGTAGCTATTGTAGAAGTTAAAGACCTAAAGCAAACTTTGGCAATTGAGACAGGATATCAAGATGCGAATGCCTGGTTGAAATGGATCAAATATTCTGTCCGCACTTTAAACAAAAGCAATTGTTATGCTTAATGCTCATAGCAGGCTAGAGGCCCGGGTTGTCCCCTTTCCACTAAGATGGTCCTTCAGCTAACCAGGCATGGGCTGTGTGGCAGCTCTTTTCCACAATTCCACAGCTTGGGGTAGCAAGTGTGTCAAGCTCTCTCTCTGCTATATCCCAAAGTTCAACACCCTGAGGGTCAGTCCCAAGAGCCATCCAGCCTCCATCTCTTGAAACTAAGTTCACTTCATGTCTCTCATGACAAGGAGGAAACTTAGTGTTTCTTGGAGACCCAAAAGGATGCAATGAGCTTAAGGCTTTTCAAGAGCTTACCAATCAGTCAGCCCTGCTTCATCTCCGAGCAGATGCATGGTGGTATTGTGGTGGACCTTTAATGGACACTCTGCCAAGTAACAAGAGCAGCAATTGTGCTCTAGTCCAATTGGCTATCTCTTTGACCCTGGCATTTCATCAACCAGAGAGAGAAAAGAACTACAACAACATCGTAAAACAAGGGAAGCCCTTTATGGGTCTTTCAAGTCTCATGTTTATTTAGATGCAATTGGAGTCCCACAAGGAGTACCAGATAAATTTAAAACTCAAGAAATAGCTGCAGAATTTGAGTCAATATTTTGGTGGGTGACAGTTAATAAAAACATAGATTGGCTCAAGCCTGTAATCCCAGCACTTTGGGAGGCCGAGGCGGGTGGATCACGAGGTCAAGAGATCGAGACCATCCTGGTCAACATGGTGAAACTCCGTCTCTACTAAAAATACAAAAATAAAAAGTAGCTGGGCATGGTGGCACGTGCCTGTAATCTCAGCTACTCAGGAGGCTGAGGCAGGAGAATTGCCTGAACCCAGGAGGCGGAGATTGCGGTGAGCCGAGATCGTGCCATTGCACTCCAGCCTGGGTAACAAGAGCGAAACTCCGTCTCAAAAAAAAAAAAAAAATAGATTGGATAAATTACATTTATTACAACCTACAGCCATTTATTATCTACACTAAAGACACTATTAAAGGAATAGCTGAGCAATTAGGGGCTGCTAGCCAGATGGCTTGGGAAAACAGGATAGCCTTAGACATTATATTAGCAGAAAGAGGAGGAGTTTGCATCATGATTAAACTCAATGTTGTACCTTCTCCCAAACAATACCACCTCTGATGGAAGTATAGCAAAGGCATTACAAGGTCTAACTGCTCTGTCCAATGAGTTAGCCAAAAACTCAGGAGTAAATACACCTTTCACAGGGTGGCTACAAATATGATTCAGTGAATGGAATGAAATAATAGTCTCAGTTCTTACTTCTCTCACAGCCATAGTAGGTGTACTCATTCTTGTTTGGTGTTGTGTCATATCATGCATCTGTGGGCTGGTGCAAAGACTCATAGAGACAGCACTTACTAAAACCTCCCTTAACTCTCCTCAACCTTATTCAGAGACGCTTCTTCTTTTAAAGTGTCAAGCAGAACAACTAAATCAAGAAATGTTAAGGAAGTTTGAAGAGAAAAACAACTGTAAAATCAAGAAGGGCAATTGGGAAAAGTAAAAAGTTCCACTTCAAAGTTTCCCTTCTTGTTACAAAATAAATAATAAGTGTTAGAAATAATAGTTTCTTTTAAAAACTAA